CCCGGCCCGGCCCTGCGCAGGCCGGAAGATGAGGAGGGGTCTGAGGCATCTCTCTTAAGAGGAGAGACTGCAGGAGCTGGGGCTGTTTAGTCTGGAGAAGAGAAGACTCGGAGAGGATCTCGTTATCGCGTACAAATATCTCAAAGGCGGGTGCCTGGAGGACGATGCCAGACTTTTCAGGGCTGCCCAGCGATGGCACAAGGAGCAATGGCCGTAAACTGAAACACGAGCAGTGCCACCTCAACGCGAGGAGGAATATCTTCACACTGAGAGTGGCAGAGCCCTGGAGCAGCTGGCCAGAGGAGAATGTAGGATCTCACTGCCTGGAGATACTGAAGCCCACCTGGACACATTCCTGTGCCACCTGCTCTGGGTGGCACTGCCATAGCAGGGGGTTTGGACTGAACAATCTCCAGAGGTCCCTTCCAACCCCAACAGTTCTGTGGTTATGCGAAAATCTTGTCTCTCTGGGACTCTGCAGTGCTGTCTGCCTTTGCTGGGGTCCTGTCCTGGCTCTCCTCCTGTCCTCCACGCTGGTGAGACCCCAGCCCGACACACACAGGGCTGCTGGGTCCGATCCAGAGGAGGCCACAGGGACGCTGGAAGGGCTGGGACACCTCCCTTGTGGGGACAGGCAGACAGCTGGGGTTGTGCAGCCAGGAAAGGGAAAGCCTACATGGAGAGCTGATAGTGACCTTTCAGTATGTAAGGGGGTTTTATAAGAAAGACAGGGACTTTTTTCCAAGGTATCCCAGGACAGGACAAGGGGCAACTTTTAAACTGAGAGAGAACAGGTTTAGATTACATGTTGGGATGAAATTCTTTACCGGGAAGGTGGTCAGGCACTGGAACAAGCTCTCCAGAGAAGCTGTGAATGCCCCATCCCTGGTAGTGTTCAAGTCCAGGTTGGATGGGGTTATGAAGGGCCTGGTCTAATGAGAGTTCCTACCCATGACAGAGGAATTGGAACTATATGATCTTCCCTAAACCACTCATGAGTCCATGACACTTCAGCACATGCCAGCAGAAAGCCAGAGTAGGCACACAGCCACCAGAAACAGGAATGTGGAAACATGGGAGACTCTCTGATGGGCTTCCCTCCACCAGGGCAGTTCAAGGGTTGGCAAAGACAAGAGGCCCTACAGAACAGCTTGCATCTCAAATTTAGTAACAGCCACTTCTGTTTTGACATCTACATTGAATTAACCAAGTAATTCACACTTCAGTATTGGACTTTAATATTGTATGCAGGCTAACAGCCTCAATAAATATTTTAATGTAATATTTGAATGAATCATTCTTTATTGCACTTGTTACTGCATTTAATAAAAGCTATGTGCTAAAAGCTACCACTTCTGTAGATTTGTTCCTTTATTCCCTATTCTTTGATTCGCTTCATCACTCAAACTTTGAAGTCAATTTCAGCTACATTTGGCAGCCAGATTATGAGCTCCCTGAGAACAGTCAGCTCTTGGTATCTGCCTGTACAATGGCTTAAAACAGGCCCCCAGTCCTGAGTCTTTGCTGATGACACTGAGCCTATTCCCCCTTGTAGAGACAGATCAAATGATACTAAGTAAGGGTTTGGACCAACTCCCAAATCCTTGGAAAATGTGAAGATGTTTAATGAAATACAAAACACCATTCCAGAGGTCTGTTATTGGAGTAGGTACTGGTTGTGCTTTATTTACAAAATCCAGAGATTTGTACATAGCAATCTACAGGACAGCATAGGGTTGGTATCAGGAGGATAAGGGGCATGCTCAGCAGGAATTGAAGATGCCAGCAAGGAGTCATCCCAGTTCCACAGGGAACCTGCTTCCCCTTGCCTGAGGAAGCCACCAGACCCCTCCAGGGAGAAAAGCAGCAGCAATAGCCAATCCAGGCTGATGTGACTTTTGTTATCATTAAGGCATGAGAACACAAGTGATCAGTGAAGGAGGAAAGAGGAGACCAGCACGGGTTCAGCACACCATTAAAGGCCATCCTGCCTGGCTCTTTACTTCCAGCGCCCACCAACCTTGCCCTTGGCTCCTGCCTTCTTGCTGCTACAATGCAAAAAGGAAAGAAAAACATGTCAGCATGATGGAAGCAGTGGGGCTCTGTGGCCACTCTGCATTTCTGACTCTTAGGTTTCATCTGCTTTCACTTCTCACATGCTGGGCACACCTGCCATTGACCACATCTTGAGAAAAATATTGTTGATATTGTGGAAAAATATTCCTCCTGAGGTTCTTAATGTGAAAGATAGGATGTGCATGCCTGAAAGAGATGGACCCTTCCAGACTCCTGGATTACCAGGGTAGAAATCTAGGTGGTCTCCAAACTAAGCAACAGGTCTATGCAGGCACAGACTTGATATTTTCTGAATACAAATCTGCTATGCACTGGATTTTGATTTCAGGATTTAGAGCTCTATCTAGAGAAATTTTCTCAGTATGAAAGAGCTCTGATGGAATTCCCCAGTTGCTCCATTCAGTAGTGGAGGCAAAAAGCTGAACACTAATTTAAATGCAACTGAGAAGTGCTTTGCTCTAGCAAAGGCAGGGTGGCTATTTGTATTGTGAGAGACAGAGCCTCCAAAAGAACCCAAACAATTTTTTAGGCCTGCTCTCATGTCAGTATCCCTGTCTTGTTCATGGTGTGTGGGAGCAGTCCAGCTACATCCCACTTAAAACACCTGAGGCAAACTCTGTCCAAGGGTTCTTGCACACAGAAGGGCAATCCTACATGCAAGCCACTTACCTTCTGCCTGAGAAGCCTGAACTCAGAAAGGGGCCAGGCAGGAAGTTAGTGGAGTTAGATTCTGCACTAATTCCCATGAGCAGCACCTTGGTTTGTGGGGCTCAGCACACCCCCAAACCCTTCCAGCTAACACACACAACGATGAGGCTGCTTCTTGAACCAGAGCACATGCAGAGTGTGGGGTTGGGGACCAAGCACAAGGTGGTGGGGAGAACCACTGGTTCCTCCAGGGAGAAGAAAAACATGGGGACATCACACCTGGGGAGATTTTTCTTGTGCTGCCCCATGGATTGGTTCAAGAGCACCAGCCATATTTACAGAAGGATGTAGCACAGTGACAGAGACACACACAGAGTGGATACTTTACCTTTGACCAAGATAGGCTTGGTATATTTGAAAAAATTGATGGTTTACATAAAAGAGAGTATGCACTTTCTGCTTATCTTAAATTGAGTTTCATGTCCCTTTTGCCAGCCTTTCTGAAGGTTCAAAACCCAGCGTAGGAACTTCATAGCTCCTCAAACAAAGACAGAGTCCTTTAATGTCCACAAACACCTGTGATGTTTGATGTTACACCTAACCTTTAGAGTGTGCTTAAGGAGATTTAATAAAGTCTGAAGCAAGAGACTCATTTGCATAACACACTGGCAGGCACTGCTTTGGAATGATAGTGTCTAGTGTGGATAGAAATTAAAGCACACAGAAATCTCATTAGCTCTGAGCATCCCAGTGCAACCTTTTCAGATGATGTCCTGGGAGAATACCATGTCTTTGGGGGGAAAAAGCAGGCAGTGGCCTGTTGTGGGTGGTGTGGTAGCACCCCACAAGAACAGGAACACCCAGATAAATCCTGGCATTCTTCTGCAGCTGCACATTCTGCTGAGGTTTATCAGCCTACAGCTCTGTACAGAAAATACCACAGGAAGGTCAAGCCTTATGTTTGGCATTACAACCAAACCCACTGCGTTACATTCATTTGATAAGCCAGGGTGTCTTGGGGAAGTGCAAGGCAGTAACTGGTCACTCCTGTCATCCAAAGATACCACCAAAGATCACTGCTTCATTCCTGGCATGACTTTGGTAAAAAGATACAGATGCACAGAAAAGAGCAAACCCACCACTAGAGAGCTCTCCTCCCTTTCTGCCCTGCAGTTACTTCTCTG